ATTGCAGTTTGCAAACCTCTCATGCTGATGTGTATTTTTCCCTGGGCAAAGTTTTTCTGGGAGCATTGCTGTACTCTGCACAACAATTCTGAACCGTTCATTACCCATTTCCCTACCTAAGAAGCAATGATCAGCAACCATGTTATTTTCCACAAAATATTATCTTGAGCATCTCAAGGAGTGCATCTCCATTTTAATCTGGCATGTCCCAGAGTTGTTGGGAGTTGGGAATAATAATAATAAAAAATGATGCCAGTGGTTGACCAGTCTGACCTCATCAGAAAATCATCACATGGAGTGGTAACCGATTCAAATGAAAGGATGGGAAATTCTGTCAAACTGAGTCCATCAGTTCCCTGATGCTTTTTTTTTTATTGGTTCCTAGATTCCCTCTAATCATGGAGAATCTGATGTTGTGGCTGAGCCAGTCTTCCTGGGAGAGGCATCGGGCTCAGGCTACACAGATCTGCGTGGTGTACTTTAGGGCTGCAACAGGAGTGGGGCAAGCTTGAAGGTCTTTCCTTGGAGAATGCTTTCTTGTAAGGTAGGACAGCTACATGTGCACTATAGTCTGGAATATTGACCCAGGTACTGGTTTCTTCATATCTGTCTTCTCCCTAATCCCTCTCTTTGATCCCTATATTCGTTATAAGATGTATTTGCTCAGTACAATATTCTCTGTGATCTCTGCTGTGGCATAGTGCTGCTGTATACCCCAATATTTGCAAATTCAGCAGCCCCAGAGTGATCTCTCCTTCTCCTCCCAACAGTGGGACTACCCTGAAGCCCCCTCACATCCATCCATCCTAAAGGACGCTGCTTCTCCAGAATGGCATGAGGAAGGTATCCAGAATTTAATGTAGATACCTGCAGTGTGCAATGCTGAATGGATAGCTTAGGAATGTTTCCAAGCCACTTTTCTCTTCCCCTCCATTTAAAAAAGCTTTTTTTAGAACAGTAACAACATAAGGCAATGAATGAACAAAAATGGCATAAAGAGAGTGCTTTTCTTGTTTATATGGACACCTTGCCCCAAATGATTTGGGGTGGGTGGGGGTAACATAATTGAGTTTGCATTCAGTTTGGTGGTGGCACACGTGTCACTTCAGAGATAAAGTCTTTCACATTCTGTGTCTTCTTGTTTATATTTTCACGGAATACAAATCAGCTGGGGATGACAGGTGTAGTAACGTGACATATCAGGAGGGCACCAAAGTGGGAAAGGTTGCTAGGGGTTGCATGTGAGGTGCTCTCTGAGCTGTAGAGCAGAAGAGCTTTTAGTCTTTACTCTTTGCTGCTGGAGATTGTGCAAAAAAGACAACGTTCTAGCCCTGCGCTATGGGCTTTCCCTGTGAATCCAGTCATCCATGTATATCCCTCCCCTGGATCTTTGCCCAATTTAGCCTGTAATTTCTAGCTGGATCGCTATTAGATACAGCTTAGTTAACATGACAAACAGCTGAGGGAGGGCAGGATACTTGTTTGTTTAAAGGAGGCAATTTTTATGAGACCTCTCATTAAAAAGCCTACCCTGGATTCCTCAGAGATGGGCAATTATAGGCCACTATAGACAAATACAGGCCAGTCTTTAACATTCTGTCAATACACTCAAGGCCAAAAAGACCATTATTTACATCGATTAAGTTATTATTTTGATTTCTGGACCGCCTTTCTGTCTACAAGGCACTTCAGATAGCTAACGGTCTAAAATAAAGTGAAAACGGATAACAGGTAAATAAACATAGTTTAAATTATTAGCTGTACAACTGCGAAGACTTGGCTATTTGGACAGCAGCAGTGGTGTGTATTGAGGACAAATCCTCTAGTAGTACATCCTATAGCTCGGAAGAGATGTAGGAGAAGACCCTTTCTGGTGTGCCCGGCAGACAGTGCTCTGAAAAAGTGAGCATCTTTCAGCAGGCTTGTCCTGTTGACCTTAATGCCTAAAAGGTTGATCCCGCATTACATAACCTAACATCCATATCTTCTGTTCTGAGAGTTTAAGGGAAGATGGTCTCTATATACCATTCTGATTGACTCAGTATAGGCAGCTTCCTATACTGTAGTGCCGGAACAGATGATATTGTCTTTCTCCCAGTTCTAACCCACTGCAAATGCAACCCCCGTCCATGTTCAACAGCTCTGATTGAAAACTGGAGTTTTCCAAACCAAGCCATATAAGCCTTTCAGAGAAAATAGTCTTCAAATTATGGGTAGTCCTCACTTACTGACTGCAATTGGGATTGGCAACTCTGTTGCTAAGTGACATGGTCGTAAAGTGAAAAATCACATGACTGTGCCTGACTTATGATGGCAGTTCAGCAGTTCCAGCTGCGATCATTAAGCAAATCACCTTGAGTCGTTAAGTGTGATGTCACATGACAGCGACTTGCGATTTTCTGCCGGCTTCTCCATTGACTTTGTTTGTCAGAAGCCAGCTGTGAAGTGACAGGATCACATGACTGCGAGACACTGTGACTGTTGTAAATGTGTGCCAGTTGCCAAGCACCTAAATTGGGATAACATGTCCACGGGGATGTTGTCATGGCTGCAACTTTGAGGACTGGTTGTCTCATTATTCAGCGCCATCATAACTTCGAATGGTCGCTGAACAAGTGGGTGATAAGCAAGGACCAGTAGTTACATCCACAGTGTGATTGGCTACAGGGCTGGACACATCCTCTCCCCTTCAGTAGCTGTGGTGTTTCAGACAGCCATTTTGTGCTGGGGGGCTCTGTTCTCTGCTGCTTGCGGTTGAACCGATCAGTTGCCTACCCTTGCTTAGTTACTACCTCGTGGGGCAATGCATGACACACTGGCTTGCTGTTTACTCACAAGGAGAGCTGAATGGCTGACTTCTGTTTTAGTGAGCCCAAGCGCAGAGTGCCTGGGGGGCTCCCACTTTTGACAGAGGCAGCCCCCGAATTGTTTTCAGGTACCTGTGCAGCTTCGGTGCTCCCCCCTCCGTCTCAGAGGTTCCTCCTTGCAGGTGGGTGGGTGCCTGTCCTGGAGTACGAACTAGAGCACGCAGGTGCGCTTTCAGCTGAACGTGTTATACTCAAGAAAGGATGCCCCATTACCTCCATGAACTTTCCACGAAGGTGATTTCCCATCTAGGCTAAAAGCTCTTTGCTCCATCCTTTCGGTCCCGCCCAGGCTATGAAGCTGGCTCCCTTCCTCTCCCGCCTTCTCCCTGCTGTCTGCCATTTCTTCTTTTGGTTTCGCGCTGACAAACAAAAAACCCGCATCATTAAACAAACGCTTGCCGATTCCGGGGCCAGCTGAGGAGGGGAGGGCGATAAATCTTGAGCCATATCAGGGTCTTGCCAGGAGGAAACTATGACGCTTCAACAAAAGGAGAAAATGAAGGGGAAATTAAGGGGATTGATGTGGTTTTAGTTAAAAAAAAATCATTCTGTGCTCCTTGGGCTTGAGTGCTTTCGCTTTGCTGCAGCCTAACCTTGGCAGCTGATTGGCTGCTCTGCAGAGGAGGAATTACCTCTTCTGCTCCATCAATGCTTCGCATTGGCTGTAGGGTCTTTCAGGCCTCGGCTTCTTCTCTGAGGTGTTACAGTGGCTTAATTAATACACTTCTACTTAGCATCTCAAATGCTACTAGTTCAAAACCTAACAGGAACTTCTTTTATTATCATGGCTTTTCTTTTCAAGCTTCCTCCTTTTCCATTTGATATACATACATACATACATACATACATACATACATACATTACATACATACATATATATTCCAATAGTGCACTTCCATCAATCATCAATTTTCCAGTTACCTGAGGGAGAAGGCTTTTACCTCAGCTTTCAAATAATATAAATAACTTACGGGCTGTTGGAGGCTGGGGTGAAAGCCTTCTACCTTTGATGCTTTAACCTACTAAATATACATTTAATCTACTCTGGGTGTGTGTTTATCTCTCTCTCTATACACACACACACACACTCACAGAGTATATAAAACGATGGGTCCAGCAATGGCTTCTGAAGGGGGGAATCTGCCTTCTTGAGCTCAGGTGGGACCACTCTTCCCTCACGGATGACTGTTTTTCCTTTCTTGTTTACTACTACTGTAGCCACAATTTGTAGTGAATTCAAAATCAGAAAACTGCACAATTCATACTGTGCTCTTCATCCCATTTTCATGAAGCGGAATGTGTTGATTGGGACGTCATGATAGTCCAGGGTTAATGATAAACAGGGTATGGCAAGGAGGAGTTGTCCATGATTATTTAAGCCAAAGTTTGTTTATTTTATTAAATCAATCGATATGCGACTCTGAGTGGCTAACAACTCATTAAAACAATAAAAAAAACATTAGCGAAATCAAAAACCACTAATAGTCACCAAGGATAAACCCAACAAGACAATCAAAAGAAACCATTCAAAGGGCCATCTGACCTCCCTTCCCACACCCAGTTCTTCAGTGCTTTATGGAAAACCAGCAGAGTTGGGGCCAATCGGTGCAGTGTTCCAAAGGGCCCTGTGACCAAAAAGCCACACTTCCAAGGCCCTATAAGGTGACATTCTTTAATTGAAGGAACCCGGAGCACACACCTCCTGTCAGATCTAGTGGGATGGGTAGAAACAACCCGGGAGAGACAGCCCCACAAATAAGCCCGCCCAATGTTGCGAAGGGCTTTATGGGCGACAACCAGCATGGTGTTGTGGGGATGCTCCTAATAACGACATGTTCAGGCCAAGCTGGAATTTCAGTTCCTGTCTCCCAACTTTGTTGAACCTGGGTTATAATTCTCACCCTGCCCTAAGTAATGTGGTGGGTTAACCTGTTTTGTGAACCCTGGCTAAGAAACCCTGGCTAAGCAAACCCTGGCTAAGCAAACCAAGGATTGCTGAAATATGTAAACCCAGACAATATTTAGAAACGTTTCTAGTCTTAGGCATGACTATTTGATCATATGTTTAACTATTTCTTTGTTCCTATTCTTATGGCTCAGTATGAGGAAGTTTAGAAATAGTCTGCAAATTCATCCAGTTATTTATTTTGCTTGGTTTTGGGATTATACCAGGAGTTTGTAATCCCATCGACCCAAATGACTTCCAGTTGATCTGTGTCTTTTTCAGGTGTCTTCGAGTCATGGCTTGCTGCCAAATTAAAGTGATGACTGAACTGAAGGTGAAGATACTTGTATATTTATTATTGTTGGCATGATTAGTTTCAGTAACTGCTGAAGATTTGTATTGCTAGATTTGTATTTGTATTGCCAGAAGACAGTGTAGATTGTAGACATTGTCCTGAACATAAGCAGAATGCAGAAGAATACTGAGCATTGAAACAGCAGAACATCCCACTGAAAAACCACAATGCTCATAAGGATGCAGAGTATGGGTGTAGGCCCATTATCAGGGAATACTAATACATATTCATTACAGTTGAAGTAAAAATTAGATTTATTAAGAAATATATGAAGATAGAAAAGCCTACATAAATACATCTGGGTGGGGGGAGATAAAGTTCCTTTTTGCCTCTTAAATACTGGGACTCATTTAACTAATAGGCCAGGTGAGAAACAG